TGGTTTGGTTGGTCAAACCTTTCATTCCATAAATATCTTCTATATGGTCTACTTAAGTTCATCGTTTACGTCTGTTTACGTCTGCTTAAGGAAAAGACGGATTCGATTAGTTTCAGCAAAAGGATCAAAGAGCTACAAACACTACTGATGGATAATGGTTGACCATAAGTCCTTGTGGAAACGTGGTGAAAGAAACCTATATATCATATGAACGGTATTGCAAAACGTCTTCATAGCTTTATTAATCAAAAGATACCGAGCCCTATAAACCATTTAGAAGCGGCAAAGCGTTTGTAAAAATACACTTGTCTGAGTGCAATTAACAAATAATCCCACGTCACTCCTCAGTAGTTAAAATACCATCTTCAACTGCCCCTATTTTTTTGAAGAAAATAAGNAAGCGATGACAAAAGTGGTTATTAAAACCATGCATTACCAAACATTATATTGTAGTTAAAAGTATCAAATCAGTCATAAGTTCAAAGCCATTCATTCACTTTGATCTCAGTAGTTCAGGTCGTCCGATCTACCACACAATGTACACCATCCTATCGGTGACATTCCAAATTTTCAACCCTTTCATTTGCACAAAAATAAGGTTATCTTTGGTTCACCGTGAGCTTAACAAATTTAAAGGATGCAATAGTGCATTGCTAGCCGTTTCCCCTGTTTATACTCATCTTCCTATCTCTTTATGAGCCCAGTAGCTTTATCGCCTTGATTCCACTTTCTAGATAATCTTGGTTTTCCATTACGTGATCGTTCGATTGACGTCCACATCCTCTCCTCAAACTTACGCGAATCTCGCTTTCGCGGGTTGTTGAAGAAACTTTGAAGAAACCATATATGGCTGTGGAGAAAATCACATTTTTTAAAATCTTAAATGCATAGTTACATAGTTGAGTCCTGATAATTACGTTAGCCTATCATTTCGCTAAATTTTCCTTAGGGATCAATAATATAAATTTATCCTCATGTTCATTTTTTTTGAATCAACCAAAATGTAGTTAACAGTTTTACATCTAAAATCATTTACGCTTTTTTCCAACATGCAACGAATTTCCCAAACAAGATGCTTCACACCATTACTGACAATTTAGCAAGTAAATTCACATATGGTGGATAAAGTTAGGCCATGTGGAGTGAAGTCAAATCTGTCACTTTTGATGGAAACTGACTGTCATTGTTGAGCTGATTATTTGCCTCTTCCTTAAGTTACTCAGAGTATCCGATTTGTTGAAAACGATCACTCCGACCCAGAGAGGCAGTTCATGCATGATATAAGTCAAACAAGTATCTGCGATTATGGTAAGCTGTGCTGTAGGTTTTCCCCAGTCTCATCGAAATAAGCATAAACAGATGAAAATAAATAGAATTCAGCTAAAAACTCAACCCACAGACCTTAATTGGTAGCAAACGCTGAGTATTTTTGCTGTTTGTCCCGAAATGTGTGTTTCATACTATTGAAGCTATCAAAGCTCACAATTATCCTAGAATTTGAGGAATATTCTAGAAGCACAGCGTTACTTCTTCAAAATAACTCGATATCTTCCAACCGTCGAACGCATTTTGAGAAGAGAATATTCTCACTTTTTTCTTGTGGACGGGAAACTAAAAGTAAGTAGAGTCGTTGCTCTCGTTTACACATATTCTAATAAATAACGTGAGTTTATATTCACACAGCATGCAAAACATCGGCTGACTGATACTGGAAGACGATCATCGATTCAGGGTGCAATTTATTCACTATTTGATTCTGAACACAACTTGTCTGTTACTCCAGAAACCCCCTTGGAAAATGTATTTATTCCGTTATTCGTTGATCAGATAGTAGTAAATAAAGCTCTGTATAATTGCAGGTGAATTCATGATAAAAGAATTTCGTTTGCTCTGAGATACAACGCCTTACAGTACTACCATTTTTCTCTATTTCATCATTGTTTTTAACCAATGGTTTCGCATTATGTGCTGTTATGCACGGTTCACCGCGATGCCCGTCTATTGCAATTTGAAAGTTCTGCCAAGATATGTCTAGCAAGTTATTAAGGAAAAGTGCAGCTCATTTCTACGTTTTTATGGCACACGTATGCCGACACTTTACGGGAAACTCAAAATGAAATGTTGTCATACCCCACCTGGAGAAGGCTATGCGGTATAATTGAGCAATAAAATGAAATCACTAGTGGTCTTTTGAAACTAAGGGACCGTCACTACCGTCCTCCAAAGTGGGTAATCCAGTGAGCTCCAAAATAGAATGAGCTCACAATATAATCACTCCCGCGGTTCAGTAAATAATTTTCACGAGTAAAAGCAATCTTTCATTCCCAAATAGGAACATTGCGTTGCTTTCTCCAGTGGCAGCATAACTGACATTCACTCAATAAACCCTGTAAGTATGACTTTTCGAGTTCTTCCTCACAAGCTAAAAATGATCTGTTGCAATGAAGATGTTGGCCCTGATCACCGCTCTCTGATCAACGATATACGAACCACGAACACGTTAGATACGTGTTCCTTGCTGAATATAAAATATACTTTGTACTGCTTGAGTAAACTAACTTTTGAAGTGTCTTTGCATGCGACAATAAACGTCAGCCTCCCTTAATTATTTTTTCGTTTGGTATACTTATTCAGGTTATTTTCCACGGCACCCTAAATGGGCAATGCATTAAAGAAAAAGATCATCCGAATCTAATTCCCTATAAAATTTGTTTTCTTGATAACAGCAAATCTAGTGTATGCTCACCAGTCCTATTTCATCACGTGACCGACTGCGTTAATAAATTTCTGTCCGGTTTTCCTTTCCATGTCATACTGATCTCCACCTAACCACTTAACTATCACTGGTTCGTAGTGAAGTTCAGCCGTTGTGTAGTAACTCTGTAACGTATCCAGACTGCTTCTAGCCAGGCTGCTAGCTTACAAGAGAATACTGCGGTAACCGATGTCCAAACATTGTTGAGTATCGTAAGGAAATTATATCAGTAGACCACCGGTAAAACAAAAAATAACTACAAAAAAATATTCATCAATTCTGTTGATATCCAGATCGCTCGCAGAATTCATTCTTGCAAGGCAATTTTAAATAAATCTTTTTTTGCCAAAGTTCTCCCCAAAAACATTACAAATGTGTCTGCTCCATAACCAAGTAAAGGACATTATTGTATTAAATGTATAAAACAGTTCAAAGAATCCAAGCAAACTCGTTTCGAAAGTTTTCAATTTTAAAAGTAATTAGATTTCAACTTGCTCGCACTTCTTCACCCCTCTTGATCAAACTAAAACTTTATCGATTCACCATTGAAATAAAACAATCACCGATTTTACGTCGTGTCAAACTGTATCATAAAGTTAAAAAGATGAAACATCAGTTGCGTTTATCAAACCTGCAAATGATATAACATGCTTCAGTATTTGAACACTTTGGCAAACGTATATTCGTGAACAATCCAATAACCAGGTGTAAATGTAACTTTGCTGTAGCCTTAACCTACACCCAGTGAAGAAACGTCAGACTCAGCGACAATGCGGGTGTTAAATAAGAAAAGCCAAAAACGAAAATACATTTGAGAATCTATGCGGCGCATTTGAATATTTGTATTTTGCATCCCTTGACAGAACTATCAAAGTTCAGAGAAGATGTTTGTGTCAAAGTTGTCATTTTCGTCGGTGAAGAAAAATAACTTACCCTCCCCCCCGCCAAAATGTCGAAAGCAGATGAACCTATTGCTGCGTACCTGCAACTGCTGTAAGATTTGCATTTATTAAATGTAAAATACCTTCATCCTCCGCTGATAATACTGATCAAAAGTCATGCTGGAATCTCATAGATCAAAAAATGTCTCTTAGTTTCGTATTCCTCTTATTTTTGGGATTCATTTGTTGTTTTTTTTTTATTCTTTTTTGATGAACAAAAATGAGTCCCGTTAGTCAGGGTATCACTGAAGAGGGTGTATTAATTTTATTAGCTGCGGTTTAAATGATATGGATTCTGTTTACCCATGGACACAATCTAGCAAGTTTGACTCAGTGGTAAATATTAGTTCCTTGAAAATGTGTCATACGCTTTGGGGGTGTAATAACGAAATAGCACAATAATTTAAATAATTACCTGCTTCAATGTTTCAAGACACGCAGACACCACACAGTTCACAAGGTAGGTTAGATCTATAACGGTTGCACGATACCCAACCATAAACTATCAATTACCAAATACAATCATATGAGTCGACAGCATCGGCTGTTAATTGACTGATTGCCGGTGCAAAAATGAAAACGATGCAAAGCGAAAGAAAATAACAAGCTGTGTTCTTGAATTTCAAAACAAGGAATGTAAGTTTTGTCAAAATGCTTTGCGTTAAACATCAGTAGATCGCAAACATGCACCAAGCCCTGACAAACAACATCCGTGTACCTATTGGGGGGCAAGCAGTGAAGCCGTTGATGCCTTCGATCGTGGTCAGCGTAAAGGAAACCGATCCGCGATAGATCAGTCCACGGGATACCGAGTCCGAAAGCTGGATTGCCTCTACTCGACAGACATTACTTTCACCGTACATACTTGAGTAGAACTGATTGTGAGATTCAGACCGGGAAATAGTTATGTTGTAAGTGATTGGGGTAACCAACAACGCAGTATTGCTACTCACAAGGCACTCAATGTAGGAATGAAATTGATTTGATGAAATATGAGTAAACAAGTTCGCGTATATGTTATTGCATTAATTGTTTGACAAAATAGTGGAAAAAAAGAAAGTTTAAATAATAACGGATATACAGTACAATTCCAAGCGTTTCATTGTTTGCACATTCAATATCCTGGTATATTTTGCTCTTTCGTGATGAAGATCAAGTGTTTGCCGTGCTTAGGCATTCGTTATCTGAGAAACCACCTAGATAAAATCGAACATCTGTCGCACTGTGCATTTAGAAACATTGCAGCCTTTATTGATTAAACTGCTGATTTCGATCACAAATGACTTATCTCACACGATACTCACCCTGGCACCGATGGATGAATGGGGCATTTCAAACATGGCCCAAACCTTCGGTCGATATCGCTGCCATGTAGTCAGATCATTGCATGCGTACTCCTCCTCCAAACCGAAGCGTTTATACAAATCCTCCGGCAAATGGTCATCTGTATCCATTTCGTATTTGTCCAGGATTTGTAGTGTTGCTTGTGTGTCACGATGCGCGGTGTATGTCATCCAGCAACATGGCTCCACCTGCAAATCAAAGTTTGCACCAAATATCCATTCACTCTGTTTCCAACTACTGATAGGCTATTCACGTAATATGAGAAGGATATAATTGATCGTTTACCTACTGCAGTTGCATTATTACCACGTAAATAAAACATATTTGTGTGGCAATTTCGCCATGTGATTACCGTGTAGCAAAGGAATCACTTTCTGGAAGGGACGACAGTAGCAGAACGCAACTCCCCATCCCCTTGTTCCTAAACGCGCGTACTGACTTTTGTTTACTTGAAGTGCACATAGCCTGTCAAAGATATCGGGTGAGAATATATGCTTTTGAATAAGCTGTGTTCATAGAACCAATTGTGCCATTTTATTCCAACGCCACTTATGTTTTACCTCATGCTTTCCGAGATCCAGATATGTTGGGTCGACACAAGCAATAGATAATATATTTTAAAATTAGGCACCAACTTTCTTTTTTTGCACAAGAAATAATCAATAATATACGACTAATTGAGAGGTTACTCATCAACAACCTAGAATATTCAGAAATATTTTCAAATCGTGTGCCAGGAGCATATTAGGTAAGATGGATATTCTCATCTGCAGCTTTGGCATTCATCAAACGACACACTCATATCCATAATCACAGTGGTTATTACCATATCAGCCACAATTTCAGTGATCAAACTTATCATTCAAAAGTGTTACTATCGTGATTTATAAAAGAATAACAAACCCAATTCAAGTTGGGATTAACTGTAACTTGACATATGTGCTCTAGTTCAAGTGGCATATAGTAAGCTCATAAACGTTCCTGAAACTGTAAATGGATGGTACAGGATAGAAAAGTTTTCTTGTCCACGGGATATAGTCTTGTCGAAGGCGGTTAACGAGTAGTCACGGGAGGGTGGGTACAATTGGTGGGGTTTGGCACACTACCAAAGCAGTTGATTGGTCAGAGAAGCCGGTATGCTGTCACAAGTGTAGACGGAGACTGATTGGACTGTGGTGTGTTATTTCGATGGATAAGCTTGGGCGGTAGACCTAAAAGTTACTCACATCGTTAGGCTTGACCGGCGGTTGTAGCACAGCCTACAACTTTAGCAACAATTCCCGTTGCTCTAAGTTTTACGTTCAATGCCGCACTTCGAATAGCCGTGATTATAGAAAATCTTGATCAGTTTCATCATTTCATCCGTGAGGTTAGAAGACTTAGTATCATAAGGTGTCGTCACTAGCTCTCGATTCTAACTAATAGGACAAAGTTGGCGAAGTGGAAACTTTAACACGATGTTTCTTTTCGCTCAACAGATTTATCAAGGCTTCGGTCGGTTGTCCGTTGCTCCTATGCATCTGAGAAGAACAAGGCGACCTTGTATCTTGTTCTGTTTAAATTTTCATATTTTGGCTCGAGCTATTATTGCTTCGGAATCAGCCCAACCATTCCGTGTTTCAGTCTCCTAAGAGTGACACGTCTTCCGTGTACAGTTTGTGAAAAAAGGGTTCGAATCACCCTATTTCTTTAGCAGTATGAAACATTGCACTAGTTGTATCAAATTTTCTGGAGGTTCTCAGCCACCAATCTAGGTGGAACCTGGCATCAGCAATAGCAGTGTATTCCTTCTGTGGTTTACAATTCAATAATGTCTTGGCCGGTCACTGTATTAACTATTTTCTTTCGCATACCAGGTTTGAACATTCATTTGTTTATGGATCGCCTTAGCGCGATATTTTAGGGTTTTGAAATCGAAACTCAAGTCTGTGTGCCCTTAGTTGCCTGCTAATGGTTTATTTTTTCATAAATTACATTTTGTTGATAGAGTTAAATTTCGAGAGGTTATTTTAAAAAACACGGTGATTATTAAAAAACGGAGTTCATTGCTGTGACTGCATGTGTTTTTAATGCATGTGTTGTGTATTCTTATGCTCACCATGCTACTATAACAAACATTGAACAATTGAAATCACCTTTCTCCATCTCCCTTTTTTCTAGATTGTGACAGTCAGTCATAAGAATGAAACTTCACTGTCCTTCAGAAAGATCAAGTGGGTGCAACAGGGACATCTTTTGATAGATTTATTGCAAGTAGTTGCGTTAAAGAATATCATTTTGGACGTATAAAACTACAAAAGGATAACTCTGGTCAAGTCCTCCTCTGTAGGCTAAATTTCGAGTAGAGAGATGGAATGAAATTTCAAGATACAACTTACAAAAATCGAATCAATAACAATTAAAATATCAGACAATACTCCTATTGTCAAATCAATTTTTCACCTACATCCGATAACTGATTAGAACAAATGTTGCTAAAATCTCAAATCGAGTCACGATCACTATTTGATACGATACAGTGATAGCTTGCGGAAAACTATGGAAACTTATCTCGGGCTTTCTCATGCCTATCTGTCGCTATGAGAATGCTTCTAACAAAGTAAATTGAAAAATTGCCATTATCAGTGGCACAAATCACACTAATAACTGCTAACTTCGCTATAGTACAGAACATTCTCTTAATTCAACAAGCTGCCAGTTTGTGTTGGCCTTTGCTTTCAGATAAACATTTCTTTTTGATATTGTGGCTTTCCAGAGAAGCTTTGTTATACGGTTAGATCCATAAACTGTTTACCACCACTTAATTCCTTGTAATTTACCTGCAGACCAAATGAAATGTGCTTTCAACATTGTTGTTTGTGGTATGTCTTAACTCCGTGAGTAACTTCACTCGGTTCATCCTCAAAGTGAAACCCACTCAGAAATCAGAACCCACCGCCCTTGTTTATTCCAAATACAATGCAATATCATATTTGGCTATTCTGTGTAAGCACCTTCCTCAAGGAGTTTCGGAAAATGGTATCTATGAATATTTCATGCATCAATGAATGTTTGACGAAACAGAAGGAGAACTGTTTTGTTTCTTGAAATGCTTTTTTGCACTACAGAACTCTCAGTGGCTCATTAGTGGGTCTACACGGCTCGCAGCTAATAAAGATTAAGTCTTGCGTTTTTCAGCTTTAACTAACAGACGCTGTCAAAGAGTCAAGGAACGATCTGCGATCTTAACTTGAAGCACAATTGTGAAGAGTTATTACGTATACGGAAGTGAAAATGAAAACCATTAGGTGATTATATCANTCTTTTTTGGACGATCTTGTAAGCTATGCGTATCCCGTTTCATCGTAGTACCAATGAAATAAAGTCAGATTCCGTTTTGCGATCCAGAGATGTGTAAACAGTCACAAGGTGCTTCGAAGAAACCAAACGACCAAATAAAGTTATTCAACTTGTTTCACCCAGGTTATTGAAGCATTAACTGGTAAGCAAAGTGAAAAATCACCTATATTGTATAAAACAGGGGAATGTTCGTATTGATTTTCCTTTATTTGTCTTTCTCAGGACTACTGAGGTAGCCTTTCTATATCCCAATTTTTCTCCTCAAATGGCCCGGGCTGTTCACAAGCAATTAGGTGCTTTATTGTGTACGCTTCCTGAACTTTATTTTGGAGGTGGAAGAAGTGAATGTCACATTACTATTGATCGCTACTGAACCTATGTATACCAGTTGCTATAAAAATATTCTCTCTTGTTGTAAAATGTGCATCTTCCGAAATTCGTTGGAGCGATTATGGGAAACGAAAGTGATCATCTCAAATCAAAATTGATTTACAAATTGCACGTTTGACGCCTTCACATTAGCCTAATTTTTTCATCCCAAACAATTAAAATCTGGGGAACTTAGGTTGTCCTGTATATTCTGAGCAAGAAATTCTGGAGTGAGACTGTGAGAGGACACCGTGTAGCGATCGCGAACCAGATAATAACCAAACACATTTCGTCAGTTTTCTAAAGTTAATATATAGTACCCATTGTTTTCCATGCTGTAATATAACCTTTTATATACAGTCTTTTAGAGTTCTGCAATGTATGCCGTAGATAGCTTAGAGAATAATGTCAAAATGAACCAGACTCTAACATAAATTATTGAATACTTCGTTAACAGGTGCTTACAGGGTAAAGGTGTGGTAATTTCAATTTCCTTGGATCAGAATTCCTGATATTTTTCATGTTAAAATGGGGGGGTGGTCCACTTAAGGCAATAATGTGTTAGTTACATGCTTGAAACGCTTTGCGCAATCTGGTCTATACAAAACGCTACAGTAGGTGGCTGATAAATAGGGTGTTATTTGTAGCGATGACAGTAGTATTTACCGCATCAATAAGATATCTTGATTTGCTCCCTATAAAGCAAACGGGTAGTGTCTTCGTTTGGTGTATGGCCAAGGTGGGCAGTTCACGGAGATGTGCGACATTTTTCGTTGATTATGGATTGTAGAGAAGTTCACCTGTAAGCTACATTTAATTGGGATCCGCCAACGATTTTAAAACAGAGTGCTGAATGCCTGGTTCATCTCTCACGATACTAAACTCCCATCTGGAATCTGATATCCCTAAATTCGATGCCAATAAAATAAAACAAAAACCGTGGATATTCATAGGATCATTTCTAATGAGTTTTTAATGCTTCTCTGCCAAAATCGTGTTCAAGTTTGATTTATCTACGGCGAGGTTAACCGTTGGTTATATTTATTTGTGGTTCTTGGAGAAGAATGTTTGCTTATTCCACAAACTATTTTTCATGTTATACATCGGTTGGGCTGCGGAAGTTTGACAAGCCCTTCCTCAACATACAGGTTTTTGCCGTCGAACAAATAGTAGCATCGCCATTCACCGTTCACTAGAGAAGATAATGCAAATCAAGGTGTAATTGACCTGAAACGTTCTGCCGGTTTGCTCCCCAAAACACGTCAGTTATTGTTCATAGTTCGGTCAAAGACTCACTGTCTGGCGCGGTTGCACAACATTGTGTCTCTCAGCTTATCCGTGAAAATTTCTATTAGGCGTTTGCTTAAAAACTTTCTCGTCTTCCTCCTCGGGGTATAGAACGTCCGGGTGAAAAATTTGGACAGTGCTGACTAGGAGCTTAAGAGCACCAGGTAATCGGAATCTAAAACCTGCAGTCTAATAAATTACAAAACAGCTCCTATTAGTTTGCCAGAGACAAGCGTAAGTGATCAGTTTATCGTCTGTTCGCTTAGCACTTTGAAACTTTCATAAATCACTTTGAGTCAGTCAGGTTGACACTGCTGTTGTCTCTGTCTGAAGAACTCTGAAGTTGTTAGGACGGAGGCTTTAAGTCCCTTACAAAAGTTTTCAATATTTATTTTCGTGAGACAAACAATATTCCGAGCTCGGAATAACGTAAAAAACCTTCAAAATTGCAGAGTTGAGATAAGTTCCAATTACAATGAGGCAGTTATTTGTTATGATAAATTTCCATTCAATGGAATTAACAATAACCAGCGAAAAACCTCGTTTGCCACTTCATCTCGAACAGCATATCGCAGATTATACAATTAGGACGTTACAGTTAAAATTATTGAAACATCAGAAATAATTCACCTAAAAGTGCTTGTCGTATAGAAAAATATCCCCTGAATTGGGAAATGGTACAGCCGTGTGTTTGCGGATAGGATACATTTTTATTTCACCCAGAACCGACCAGGAATAAAATGTAAAATTAAATTCCACTTCAAATTTACCTGAAATCCAAATGGAGCACGTTCCTCCGACCATAATGCATCATTTTTATTAGGGCCAAATGCCAAGCATGAGTTGGGCTCATTACTCTGCTTTGCACAAACAAAATTGTTCCCTTGGGATGTCGCATTTTTAACGGAACACTAATGACTGCACCGTGAAAAACCTATCGCTTTTGGCGAATCCAGCAGAAATGAGTAAAAGCCACAAGGAACGCATGAAACATATCGGGGCAACTACAATTAGTTCCCGGACTGTGTTTACTCGAGCGCAATTCTAATTAAGGGGATTTTATGTCAATTTAGAAGTGGGACCAAAGCATGAAAGTAATCTTTTATTTGTTCCTTGTTCGTACCGTCTATACAGAATCGACTCCAATCCGGTCCACTGTGCATCACATTTGCTTGCTAGATCTTTGAAAAGGTTACCCACTGTTTTCCTGCTCGAAACACAGTCTGTGATAAATGGTACCGCAAATGCGATCGCATCACGCACATTTTCCAAAACCAAAATTCGATATTTTTTCCAAGTGTGAGTTATTGATTGCAATGGATCAGCAAAACCATATTTAGGATTGAAATGCATTTGGAGAGAACAATGTTCACGTTTAATGGAGTTGCATATAGGAAAAGGGTAAATAAAAGTTATCATTAGTGATTCATTTTCAATAGAATATTACAAATCATACCCCATACTGTTTAAGGCCTAATGCTTAACACGGAGTAACAGGAAATGTTTTCCAAATCAAATAACTGGTGGTTTCAAATTTCACTGTATTTATTTGAGTGGGAAAAAAACCTATATCTTGAGGGTGTGAGGAACTGCCGTGAGTTTTCGGTCTGCAGCCACATTCATACTTTGGTTTGGTTCATCCCAACTGCTTCATATATGCAACTTTCAAACAAATACAGTTTGTACAACCCATTTGTTGCTTGTTTGTCATTTACACAGTACAAACTGAAAATTAACATATAAACGAAGGGTGCTGCATACGTTGACACCTAGTTTTCAACACCAAACTTTAACTTCTTTACGTTTACCGTTTATCCTGTTTTTTGTTTACTGGATTTTCTATCAGCACATGTTTAGAAACTGCCCATAACCTCTACCAAAAGCATCAAATTTGATATGTATAATACGTAAAAGTATTTTAATATGGTTTTAGAGGTTACAAGGAATAAACAAACGATCATTATGTTTCAAGAAAAGAACCACGTTTCTTTCATTGAGATAAGAAAACAGTTTAGTCACCACCTAATTCTTGCACATGGGCATGCTTGCTAAACACGGAAACAGGGAGTTCTTAAGGAAAGTATCATTGCAAGTGGTAAAACGTACGGGTAATTCGAACGTGTTGTTTTGACTGATGGTGCTAATGAAATTGAAGGACCAGGTTCTGCCCAAATTAATTTTGTGATTTCCTGCAACATGGAATACACCGGTCAAAACAATTAAGGGCATTTTATCGAAATTAAAACGAAAGAAATCGTAACTGTTGAGCAGTAACTCACAGAACAGAATGATAAAATTTTGGTTAAAGAGTCTAGGAATATTGCACCAGCCCAAACCGTAAGTAGGACTGTTAGTGCACACACTGGTAGACGTGAGCAGATAGGATTCTGACTGCGATATGAAAATGATTGAGCTCAGGACTTTGAAATTCCAGTTTTCATAGTTTGAACAAATTTAACTGAGTGGGTAAAGTCCACTAGAGGTTGGTGATAATGGTTATCGAAAAGCATTTCGCGGACCCTTTGGGAAATATCTATCGTGGAAGAATAAAGATACATTCCAAACATTCAGAAGAAGTCTATTGAATTCTAACATAAGAAGAAAGAGGTCAACATTTTACACGTGCTCCTTAAATATGTTAAGAATAGCAGTAGTACATGCAGATTGTTAAAAACCCTGAACATGTGGAATGCCGGAATGATCAGTGGTATAAGCGGGAAATAGAAGTGGAGCAATTACAGCACCGAGGACTATTGCGGATTGCTTGGTCAGAAAGTTAGAAGAAATCATATTCATTCCATAGCAATCGTCGAATAGCCAAGCAGGCAATTGTTCCCGATATGTAAACATTTCTAAATGGTTGAAGAGCCATGATCACAAAATCGAGTCAAAACTTGAAAGAATAACGGACAAATACTCAACTGATCAATTTCACTTTATCATCTGAGGGTTCCTTGATAGGGTGCATTAGAGAAAGTCCCTGCATCTGTGGTACATCTTCCAGGTTCACATACTAATCGGAGAGTGATCTCACGTGGTACTGTGTCCTCGTTCTTGTTTAAACTAGCATCTTCAGACCAGTGGAATTTAATGCTCATGGGCAAAAACGATCAATGATCATTGCTCACTAGATGACCTTTGAAATAGTGGCAATAAATTCAAGCCAAGAATAGTCTGGGATTTTGCCACAACTCACATACTGATTCACCAAGTGTATATCCATATCCATCAAAGGATCAACCCTATTTATTATTAGTGCAAGCCTAGGTCTGATGCATAAAATTATTTGACGTTTCATGCATTTCTCAAAGTATCTTTGTGGGTGAACGGTTTGAGCGAAGTATTTCACCTAGATAGATATAACTTAGCTTTATCCATTCTCTCTATGCTGACTGCAACAAGTCTACTGTTTTCAGATTGCCTTCTGATTATACAACGTTTAAAATCATCATATTTCATGTACTAGTTTATCCGTTTTTATTCCATAAACTCGCACACACTTCACACGTGGTGTATGACCACGTTTTCGACTTCATAAGTTTCAACCACAACTGCTCGAATCTGCTGTGGCAAACCTAAAGTGGGGAAATTCTCAGCTATCTCGAATCCCCTTAGATTTTCTGTATATGGATGGCATCCATGATTGGTCATTTTATTCACGTAAATCTTAGTGTTACATTCCTGGAATGGCATTTTTCATATACAATTGCTACTGGGCATTGGTCTTATTCATTTATTTCCATTCACCCCAAACTAGATGCAGTTTGCCCGATCATCGCTCGATCATGCGCTTTTCACTCCTAACTTGTCTGATACGAGTGGCGAATGTGCATGTCTTTGCATGCACTACTTTCTCTTCCAGACGACCTTATCTGAGATGCGGTAGAAAGAATGACATACTATATACCGATGATCCGAATACCTGTTAGCCTTCACTCCAGCGAATAAAATATGCGCACTTGGAGTAAATACCCCACTGAGCAACCTGAATTTTAGATTACAGCTCTGTGCAAACACTCCTATGAGTGTATATGCGCTGCTCGGCGAGTAGCTGTATTCACATTTAGTATGATTCATGTGGGTTTGCCTTTCATTATCGCATTTGACATGTTTCAGAGCCTCAACACATCGAAGCTGTCAAAAAGCGGTGACAGGGGTGCTATGATGAGGAACATGTCAAAAACCACAGAAAACCAGAGATATACTAAACGAAACAGTGATACCATCGTTATATGGCCCTCCGTTGGTCGTTTCACGACCCGTTCTAGTTGCCGATTGCATTACTGTAACTTCACTGTCACCGCTATACTATACTTTCATTGGCTAGCGGTTCATATATGTCCACATTATCGGTTTATTTAGTTTCTGCGACTAAGGTCTGGTTTAGGTAGACAATTTCTGCATTGCCAGTTCTATTCCATTCGTTATTGGATCCCGGATGAATATTTTTGCTATCCCCGATAACCACGTCGAGGTATGATGTTTTTCTTATTTATTGGGTTGCTACATAACACGGTGCTGACCAAGTGGTTTGGTCACCAACTTGTGACTTGGAGTTCCAGGTTCGAACCGCTCCACCGCCGCCTGTCTTCTCAGACAGCCTTTGTATGGCTGCGGCCTCCTTCCTGAATGTTGAATGCGCATCTGTATATTCAATAAACAAAAGAGGAAGTAAAAGGGACTTTAAATTAATCTATTCTCGAACAGATCCTCACTTCGTTGTTTTCCTCTGGGTTTTATTCAACCGCGAATGTGTCCCTACAAGATAATAGGGACAACCACTGATTAGTAACAAAACGTTGGTGTTCGTTGCGCAACCAGGATAAATAGGAAAATCTTTTTCAGTTATATTTTATTTTTGATTAAAAAAAACAGAATTCATAGGCGTCTTCAATGCTCAAAGTAAATCTTGCAATACACACACTCAAGGGCTTCCCTCACTAGACTGATAAGAATTTTATCACCAGAGCGCACTCAATATGGACTGATGGTTGTAAGCTGTAAATTCCGAGATAATTGTTTTTTAACCTGCTTACCTGATTTCCATCAAGTCCCCAAAATTCCAACTCCTCCTCAAACAACGGACCGCATACGTCCACAGGGTAATGCAACTTGCCGGTGCGATAATAGTTGAGAATCTGTGCGAACACGCCCGGGTGCCGATCAAAGAAATACTCGTTCAATACTGGGTCATAGTTTGCAAGCGCTTCCGTGAGTCGAGAAAGTCTGGTTGCGGGGATTTTTTTCAGCGTGGCTTTGTATGTTTCGTGCCGGATGCCACCAACGTTCAATATCACCCTGTTCTCAGCGTCCATGCTCAACCGGCATGCTCAAGCATTAGTCCGTGTAGTCAGCTTTAAAAAAACAGTAGGGCGGGAATAGATTATGCACATGCGCATATAACCCATTCGCTAAAGAGTGCCCCAGCCATGAGCAAGATGATGATATTTTGCATTTATATTTCCACTAATAAATTCAACTAGATTTTGACGTTCCTCGCAACCAGTATCAAACAGTGGCCAAAACCAAGATCATTGTAAATGGCCAGATATTTTTCTTAACAAATAGTGACTTTGCCGGAGTCGTCTTTTACTTAACAAGGGCAAACCTGATAAATAATACAGCCATCAAAAATTAGAAGCATCCTTGTTTTTGTAACTCTCATGAAAGACCGAACGTAGTCCTTCGTTTTCCTAACCTGCTATTTCATGTGAGCTTTTATTATGTCCTCTAGTCGCAAGTAATTTGGTATATGATATTAATTTTCCTCGCTCTCATATGAATTTTACGTAAAAATGACAATAATAACAAAAAGAAACTTTGTATACCAAAATTTTGTAGTCCATTTGTGGGAGGAAACAAATACCCGAACCGAAGAACCCATGCATGTCAAAAGTTTTCAAATCGTGTCTGATACCTCACACATTGATCGATTAGTCATTGACGGACCACAGAACTCCATTGGCTGCAGCAATGTTTGTTCATTAACCGGTAGATCACATAGGTATGACAATGTTTACTTATCTGCTGCTCCTGTGGCAGACAATTTGTACCGTGAAAAACGAATTATGCACACTGAATTGGTGGATGTTAGCTTGCAAATGGATAAACTACTTTTATGGACAAACTTTGGACGATAAACATTTAAATTCTCCGCTTTCGTTCTCCGCCTGATTTTTATTGATGTGCACTTTGCAAATTAGCCATTGTTTCATTCCTGTAATTTGTATCGAAATTGTGACGATTACAAAACAATTTGACAATGGCATGATGTAGTAATCAGTTTGTTACATTCTGAGAGACGGTGAACGTCTCTATTGAAGTTTGCAAAACTAGTTGCTTAAGTTTCCCACTTCAGTAGAATACAAACATGGTTATCAATGTCTGTTCATTATACTACCTCAAATGAGTTTATTCAGGATTGTAAATTAATCAACGGAAACCGACTGACTTGAAATCGATAACCGGGTTTGTCTAAATCTGATTATTCAAAGCACGCAAAGGTCGGACGAAAATACAATTTTGTGAGCTAGACTTCCCTATCGCTTCATCTAAACGTGAATCTATATTAAATGAAACCTACATTTCAGAATTAGTTCGTAATGTCATCTAATTTTACCTGGAGTCAGTAACTAATGATGAATCAATTATGAGGAACCAGAGTTCCCGCTAGATATTCATCAAACCTTTCTGCCATGGAGGTTGTGTAGATTTATGGTTTTCAAAGGGCTATTCGATCTAATTTTACAGTGATACCAAAAAACATCTCTACACACATTTCCCAAGTAATTCTCATAGTAGCAATGATTTATATTATTATCCACCAGAATATGTACATTTCTGTGTGATGTAAGTTTCCCAAACTATAACACTCGATAGCTAGTCATTTGTACCGTTTTCAAAGCCTATTACGTTCTCATCTATTCAACATGATAATTGAGAACAATCTGCTCCACACAGTGATTGTATTCGTCCGCGATTGGGAAACACCTTAAGCAACATCAAAAAACCATTACCTTTCCAGTAAACAATATTGAAGTAGGAGATCATCTATTTGTTTCGATTTTAGTCGTTCGAAGTCCTTTCTCAATCTTGAACATTTGATTTTCGCAAAACGACGATACATTAGAAAGATTATCGTAATCCATTCACATATTTTAATTATTTTGAAAAGAAAAAAGATTGAGCACTTTTTCACCGGCATCTAATTCCCCTATCGCTTGCTCTTGGTTTTCAATATTATTTTGGATTCAAAAGATTATTCATCATTGGGCTGGCATTTAAAAATAATATAGAACACAACACAGTCCGCAAAAGATATTTCGTTTCCGACGTTTTCGACGGACGAATGCATATCGCCGTTCTCATACACTATCTATCATACAGTTGAGTGCACCAAGTGTGAATATTCGGACGTGAAACGCGGACGATTGGATTAACCATTCAATTGCCACTTCAGTTCCCCTACGCACCCCCCAGCCCCGCCCAAATCATTTGCTCATTTGCATATATTGGTCACGTGTAGAGGATAAATTCGATCAAGCTTATGTAGAGAAATGGGTGTCTCAGCGTATACAAACAGAGTGATATAAGCGTTCCCCTGAGAAACAGTAATTGGGCATTCATAGATTACGTCAGTTATTTGTGCAGAATATATGTTTTACCCTCGTCCGTGGGGAATGAAATCGCAACTCATGATGTAAAACCAGAAGTAAATATTGTTGTTATCATTGGAATTCTATACCAGACAATTCAAAATTATGCTCTGGGTTGTTCGGAAAATGTAAATAAAGTAAGAAACTGGCGTTCAGAAAGTGACATGAAATCATCTCAACCATTCCACAACATCAAGTCCAATTTAAAGAATATCATATAAACCAAAACTTATATCCGATCAGAATAAAAAGTCCGTATTTTTAGCTAAACTGGCTTACGTTTACAATTTTCATCACCTCAGTTATGTAAACAGAAAAATCAATCAATCTGTTCCGGAATACAAGCAAATTAAGTCACTGCGGCCCTCAAAGAACACTGATAACGTACATCTGCTTCGCATTTGTTGTTCCCTTAAAACGCGATCGATGACAACATTCCGATCATGTACTGCCGGAATCCGCTTTGAAAACATTTTGGTTACCCGGTGGAAATGTTGAACATGAGCTAAAACTCTGTCGATGTTTTTTTATTCTCAACGCGTATGCGACCTCTGTGTCACCCCTTTCTTGATGTTGTTCTGTGTATGACCGAATCGATCAAGTGTTCATTTGGGCGCCTCTGTTTTCCTTAAATGTGCACGATAACAAAAGTGGCACAGATTGATTCCATGGATTGCAAACCAATATTTCCACGTTTTGTACCCCACAGATCAAAATTCTCTGCACTCAAGAGTGAACCGGTCATTATTCACAATAAGGTCCGTAGATAGATACGCATAAAACAGCACTGAAGGTACCCCGAATTAGTGTGCGCAAAAGCGCTCTCTACACTCAACGTGGAAGAGGCTTTTGAACAGTTAGTAGGAAATTAAGGAGTTGGAATTAGTTATCGTTTGTTAAACTGCATTAGACCGGCGAACAAGGTTTCTTAATAGTGATAATGGTTAAAGCGTCAGTCACTCGATATTTATATCCATCTTCCTCCGGCTGGCTGGCTATCTGGTCTACTGCACAACCTTCAACGGCCTGTCAGTTTCAAAAAGAACGTATGAGATTCGTCTGCGCGTCATTCTCATCTATCGTATTGTTTTGTTCTATGTCTTAGCATACCTGCGTAAGATTTGGTGGTCAATTAAGATGGCACAAAAAGATGAACAAGGAGAGTAAAATACATAACGCCATTCCATGTATAATTCGGTGCACGATTTCAAACGCCGTAGTGCGGATAAATAGATACCCATCCACAACTATACGTGATTCAGGATGTAGCTCCATAGTGATAACGTGTATGATCTTCCCTGGTTACCTACAAGTAAAGCGTTGTTTTCAAACCTCCAAAGAAGGGATTTGTTATCGATGAGTTATTATTTCCAAGAGAAAAATCAACAAATGTTTCTTTGAATTCTAAATTCCTTGCCATCGTTTTTTGCTAATCTCTATAAATGTTACTGCCCCTGAAGAACTACGACTTTCGATAAATTTATTCCAATCTGCGGGCCAACTTTTGTCCCATTTCGCTTTTCGTTTCAGTCAAGTTTTTAACTGCGTGCCCTTCAAAAGCTATTCGATCTGATTAGAGGAGATTGCTTGAATGCCCTTTTAGTAATCGATCACCGTGTGCGTATCGCCCAAGAGCGATTTGATTCGTTACGCTTGAGGGCGCACACGCACCACAGACGTTTATCTACGAAGTTGGTTAAGAAATTAGACTGGACCAAATTAAGGGCTTTATTGGACTTTAGGATAGTTACTTGGTTGGAGATAGGTGTTCGACAATCGACCGGGTGTGCAAGAACGGGTAATGGCATACATTAAATGCAATGCAAACGCGCATGATGTTCGGCCTATTCAGGTATGAAGATTCAATCACCAAAGCTCAGCCCATGTCAATTAACAACAAACCGGCTGTGTAATGATGATCAGACATATGGACACTCAGTTTGCCCACAAAATGAGAATATGACAATAATTGAATTTGTCGGTCAAATGTTATTCAGTTACACCTCTTGTGTTACTGTAAAATGAGTTCCTCACGCATAATTGCTTATTGTGATGAAGAAAGAAAAAGATAAGTCTAAAGAGCACTTAAACGCATTCGTATTGAACACTGCAGGAAAAAAACGTTTGTAAATTGTTCATTAGATTCTTGCTAATGCAGACATCAATTCACTTCAATCTATCCCAAACATAAGCAGTCTTTGGAACTATTTATCAAGGCATTGAATTTGCACAATTTACAGGAATGAGTGATAAGCAACTGAAACTTATTTTTAAAACCAAAGAAAACGAGGTTTAAATCCTGGTTAAAATGCTCATTTATTTTTCATTTAGTATCAAGTAGAACAATCAGTTTCTATTTGTTTCTCTGATTTCTTTTCCAACCAGATTTCATTGTTGTTACATTCATCCTGGCAGCTGTGATCAAAAGTTTTATTTTATCAACAGAAAATAGGTCAGTTCGCATTTCACGTGCAGAAACTTGTTGCATGTTTTCCAGTCCGGACAAAGTTCGATCCGGTTTTACTGGTAAAACGTATGCAAGTGTCCTGTTTTGGGGCCTCATCCGGCTGCATGGCTTAACTTGTTGCACTTTTCGTGTAAAAGAAACCATGTGCTTGTCGCTTGACACCGTTCACGCAAGCAATAAACTCCCCGCATGA